ACTTTCTGTACATTTTGTATTTTTGTTTTGCATATTCACATGTGTAAATAAAAGAGAAGTAATTATGTACATTGTTATTTTTTTTAATGCAGCTTATAATTTTTTCGCAAAACATTCTTCTATACGTTTATTTTTTTTTGTCCGGCAAATAAATTTTTTTACACATTTAAACAAATTGTTCTATACATTACTGAAAGTACTTTTTACAACTATTTACAACATACTATTTACAACATAGCTTAGGTTTAACATCAGAAAAAACAACATCAGTTTTGAGCCCAGCCCCCTTAGCTAAAGGGATAGTTCACCCAAAAATGAAAATTCCAAACCTGGAACAACTTGAGGGTGAGTAAATGATTACAGAACTCATTTTTGCTTCTATCTATTAGTTGTTTGTATTAGTATCTAGTAGCTGCTTTGCTACTTCAAGTAAAAGTATTATCTTGCATACTCTAATATACTTAAGGTATTGAGAGTTAAAGTAAAGGTATACAGTATTGTTCTGAAAAATAATTAGTCAGGATGGTTTTCCAATAATATTACTGCTGCACTGACTGTTGCATTTTACTTCTGAATATGTTCAAGGTTATTAAATTTAAAGTTGCCTAATAAATATACTGTTGGGTTGTTTAATCTACAACAATGCATCATGTTGTAAAATACCATATTTTTGTAGTGTTGCTGTCCTGTGAGGGAAAAAAAAGAAAACTTAGTGCTTCATATTTGTAAGAGTACTTAACGAATGTACTTCCTTACAGTCCACCTCTGATTATTTTGAAAATGAAAGTATCAACATTTTGTCAGAATATTAACACATTTCTACTAACTATATCAAAGGCTGCATCTGAAGGACTCGGACTGGTCAAACAGAGCACTGTTCAGCTGTGACAGCTGCCACTGAACACTGAGCTGTACTATGCTCTATTTTTTAAATTTTTATTCAGTTTTATTTCTATGCTTAACTGCCTAAAAAATCCGGGTTGCAAACCTGTCTACATATGATCACCACGGTCAAGACAATAAACTATATAAAATCGCACTTTTGTAAGATATCAGTCAGCATTTGAACTGCTATGTGTGTGTGTGTGTGTGTGTGTATTTTGTAGTTTTTCATATGTATCATTACATCATTCAAGTAAGCTCCAAGCCAATTCCTGCATTTAAAGTTGTAATCCGACAAAGGACGCAGCAAACCAGTGTAACTTACCTGGCCTCGGTCTTGGCTAAGCCTGAGGTACATCACCGTCTCCTCCATTATGAGGTAAAACATAAAAACAAAAATGAGCAATTCTGGCTCCACCTATCCTGGCAGGATTTTCCTCTCTGTCAGCTCTCCTCTCACACCGTTGCTATGTGACAGAGCACTAATGGGGAACCTCTGGTGTCGCAATTAGGAAATGCTGCGAAGGCGGAGCGTCCTTCATGCACTTCGGAGGGCCCTTCGTGCACTTCGGAGGCCTGGTCTTCGAAGTCCGTAGCCTTCGAAGTGTGCACACTCAACTTTGGGACACAGCTTTCGTGACGAGTTAATGGGTAAATGACCAGCAGCTGATGAATATCAGTAACGAAAATAACCGGGCAAAGAACTATGGGAAATGGAGTCCATGACAAGTAACAGTGAAAGGGGAGAGCGCCATCAATTGGTCAGTCCAGGGCACAACAACCAGACACTGTGACAGTGTGTTACAGTGCTTTGAAACAATGTGTATTGTGAAAATACTAATAATTATTAATAACTAATCATTTCTAAACTCTTCCCCTATTTTTTATGTAAACAATTTTAAAATAAATCTAACAGTCTGCAATTAAAATGCTTTGAGGTGGTGGGCAGATTCAAAAATTTAACACTGTGCCGCTGTAAAAATACTGACCTAATATTACATGTATTCAGATCAAAATGGTCAAATATGATCTCCCTGATATATATCAGTCTAGCATTATGTAATAGAGCTATATCTTCATGCATTGTGCCTTAACACTAGAACCGCCACGGGGTAAATTTTACCCGTGGCTGTTTTTCAAATGTACATAACAGATTTAAAATAAAACATTTAAGTCTCCCAGTCATTGACTTGTACTAAAATGATGTAATTTATTTTATTTATTTAGTCATTTAGCAGACGCTTTTATCCAAAGCGACTTACAAATGAGGACAATAAAAGCAGTCAAAACTAACAAAAGAGCAACAATATATAAGGGCAAATGACAAGTCTCGGTTAGCCTAACACAGTACACGTAGCAAGGTGTATATATATATATATATATACATATATATACATACATATATAATACATATACATACACACACACACAAATATATATACACACATATATAATACATATACATACACACACACACATACATATATATATATACACACATATATTATACATATACATACACACACACACACATATATATACACACATATATTATACATATACATACACACACACACACATACATATATATATATACACATATATTATACATAACAAAAAAGAAGATAAATATAGATAAAGTAGAATTAAAATAGAATAGAAAGTGCTAGAGTTAGAGGGACAAATAAAGGTGGATTTACAATCCAATGTTGTTAAAAATGATTTAGATAAAACCAGAGAAAAAAAACGGGTCATTTATACCTATAAGCGCCAGTGGGTCAAATTTACCCACCTATATAATGCATGTATTTTCGCTAAGGATGCACCGGTACCACTTTTTCCAGTACTTGCCTGATACCGATACTTTTATTTTGCGTACTTACCGATACCGAGTACCGATACCAATATTTTCATTGCATCTGTAAATTTTTAAAATGTTGGGTACAGAAACCAAAAGAGTATGTATAATGTTAGTTGGTTAACTTCATTTATCAAATAGATACAGTCAAACCAAAACTGATTCAGACACTTTCAACATTTCTCACATTATCACAGTTTGTTTGCTATAGTTTAGAAAATGGTAATAAAATATGACAAGAACTCAGAGTTAAACTGTGTCAGAACAAATTCAGCTTGATAATGTCAAATAACTTT